CCCACCCCCCAAACTTGACCTATGATAAACCAACCACACCTTTCGAACCTACCTGAACACCCCTCCATCCAACACTCCAAATCCCTAACGATCCTAATAAAAACCTCCAATACCCCTCCATGCATTCAATTCTTCCACAACCTATTCAACTGACTGAGAAGGAGTTGGTACTAATACAAGACCCTATATATAAATATAGCATTCAAGTGTTTACTAGGCCATACCGGTGAATCAAGATGGCCAACCCACGTCAGATTAAGCTGAGGGCCTGATAAGTTTTAGAAGATATAAACATGTGTACTAACTTAATCTGGTAGGTCTGGGGTTTGAAACTGAGCCAAATTTGAAGATTCTTTAAGGGAACAATTAATGTAGTTATACGTCTACACACAATGGGAAATGGGAATGCTGTCACTGCATAACTGCATATGTAGGATGGGCCTATACAAGTAAAGATTATTGGCAGAATACTCTTAAAACTACCCAATCTAGCCAATAGCCATGGCCGTTTTTACAGGGTACTCTATCGGCTACATTCTAATAGACAGGGCAAAGTAGAACAGTAGTACAGGATGGCAATCACAGGCCAAACATGGGTACCAAACCACAATAAATAATATGAAAGACGCTTTCTGCCTCTCTGCAATAATGGAATCTAAATATCCAACAGGATGTCAACTGACAAGCAGATGTACATTTATAAGATGAGATATTAAAAAGAGCACCAGATTCAGTGTGTCCTGGAGGAATGGCCAGGATCTCTATAAGTCAGACCCAAAATTGGTAAAATTGTATTTTAAGACAGGATGACACAATTCACAAACCGCTAGGGTAATGCAAAGACATAGGAGTTAAAGGGAAAAAACATTACCAGTGCCCTCTCTGTCTTTATCTCCTTCCTTAGCTGTTCTACTTCCATCTTTAGAAGGTCCTTCTCTGTCATGTCTTGAGCCATTGGAGAGTTCGAGGTGGACCACCCAGCAGAATGGTTTTGGTGGACTTTACAGAGTAACTACGTACTAGAGTAGTTGTTGATATTAAGATTTAGTAGAAGACCTAGAAGCTTGGAGTTGCCGGTCCAGAGAGAAACAAAACAGCGATCAGAAGGTGGCCCGTTGGCTGTTCAAATCACTTGGTTCGAAGATGGTTGTTTGATATCTTTATCTGTGTATTTTGTTCTGCCACAGACCAGGGAACACTGAGCCTGGCCCTGCTCTCTCCTCTCATATCTGATCGCTCTCACTCAGTCCCGCAATATAGAGGGCCACAGATGGAAGATCCTCCTTTAATCCTAATCTGATAAAGGACTTAAAGTGTAACCTGCTTATAGCTCAGTCAGGAGGGGCAGTGTATAGATGTATGTAAGATCAGGAAAACGAATGCACCGGGTGCATCAGAATAGAAAGAGGTGTTTAATGCACACATTTGTTTAATATATGATGGCCTGCTGCCATCTTATGCTATAAGCAAAGAGTGCTGGCTATTTGTGTAGGCATTTGCATCCATTTGTTAGCTGTGATGAATACGGTTTCTGCCACTTACTAGATAAGCACCACAAGGGTGATTTCTAAGACGTGATTTATCCCTTCTTCCTTGTTTGTCTGTTTTATTAAACATTCCACAGTGTGCTCTCCCAAAGGTCCTTTTTCAGGGAGGAACGTGCACCTCACCAAAACATCCATGAGCATTCAGGCCTCCCGTGGTAGCATGTTCATTCCCGCCATGCACTGTACTGTACCATACACGCATCTGCAAGGCATCCCAACACACTAAAGAATTCTATCTACAGTATCCATCTATCTCCCTATCTCTCTCTCTATCTATCTATCTCTCTCTCTCTATCATCTATTTGTCTCTCACTTGCACAAGGGGTGCGGCCATCACATGGCACCCACAGCGCGATTGGTGCACACCTGGGCGACTCCTGACCGCCCGGAAATCGTGCACGATTGCCGTGCGGTGGGGTGTTGCCTAGGTGTGCACCGGCCCTTATGATCTCCATAAACAACAGAATATACAGTCTAACACCACACATAATAAAGGGGGAGATACAGGAAATAGATAAGGAAAGTTACTTTTATGACTTTATAGAAGGTGGTGGAATTGTGTTGGGAAAATACTAGACATGTGCGATTCGTTTCGTTACGAATCGAAATTCGGACGAATTTTCCTGAAATTCCGAAATTCGGAGCGTCCGAAATCCGAATTGCAGTTTCTGAATTATATCCGAAATACGAAATTCGGTTAACGAATTTCAGATCCGAATTTCTTTGAAACGGGAACTAATATTACCCCTGTAAATGAGGTTGAACAACATGACAAGATTTTTTTTAATACGAAATACGGATCCGCTGCTGCGGAGGGTTGCATTACAATACATACAGGCAGGAAATACGAAATTCCGTTGACGGAATTTCGTTCCGTTACGAACATTATGATGAAGTTTAACAAGCAAAATACCTTTGTTAATATATTGGAGTTGATGGTAGTTTTTTTTAATCAGAAATACGAAATTCGGATCCGGAATCCGTTAACGGAATTCGTATTTCGTTTGGTTGACCAATCAGAGGTTCTCTTCTGCTGCTGAGAGTTGCATTACACAATAGGCATGATGTACGAAATTCCGTTAATGATTTTCGGATCCAAATCCGAATTTCGTTACAACGGAAAAGTGACTGTTTGTTTGAGCAATCAGAGGTTTTCTTCTGCTGCTGGGGGAGGTTGTTTTTTGGAAAATTAGAAAATGAAATTTAATTAAGCTTTATTGGCAGGACCAAATACATTTTAGCATTGCCATATTAATTATGATAATTAGTTATGATGAAGTCAAATTACCTTTTTTTTTAAATATGTTAAATTGTCGTCACCAGTAGGG